TCCACTCACCTCGGCCTCCCAAAGTGCTGGGATTACAGGCTGAGCCACCGAGCCTGGCAAGGTTATATAATTATTAAGCAGCAGAACCAGGATATGAAACTTGGCAGTCTAACTCTAAAGCCCACACTCTTACCAAATATACTTCACTTTCTGCCTCCCTAATATCAATAATAGTAGTAATAACAATAATAGAAAGTTGTCATTGTGTTCCAAGGAGCCTACAATGTTCCAGACATTCCGTTAAGCACCTCTTTTTTTTTTGTGAGTCGGAGTCTCATTCTGTTGCTTAGAGTGTAGTACAGTGGCATGCTCATGGCCACTGCAGCCTTGACTTGCTGGACTCAGGTGATTCTTCCACCTCAGCCTTCCAAGTAGCTGGAACTACAGGCACGCACCACCTTGCCTGGCTAATTTTTTTTACCTATTGTAGAGACGAGGTCTCACCAAGTTGACCAGGCTGGTCTTGAACCTATGGGCTCAGGCAGTCCTTTCACCTCAGTCTCCCAAAGTACTGGGATTATAGGTGTGAGCCACCATGCTTGACCAAGCACTTCTTTTAAGTATTTAAAAGAATGTGGTAGGCATTAATATTAAGAGCAGCCCTATATTAAGCACTTTATGTGTATTTGATGAAGTGGAAATTACCCACATTTTGCAAATAAGAAGACAGGTGCAGAAAGGCTTGTGAAGCTTTATCTTGGTTTGAGCCTCCGTCGTTGGTGAGGAAGATAGCCTGGGCTGCATAGAACACCTGTGAGAGGTTCTGGAGCCCTGGGAGGCCCCCACCAATTAGCAGCTCCAAACTGAACACCATCTGTCTATCTTCTTTTTAGTAGGCCTCCTGTATTAGTGACAAATTCTTCCGGACTGTTGGGTTTTTGGATGAGTGGACACATAGAGGGTATAAGCCAGGGCCCCATGGTCTTGGAGTTAACTTGTGCAGCCCCTGGTGATGGAATATATTTGTTTTCTAGGCCAAGATTAAGCAAAAGCTGCGGGAGATTGAAGAGAATCAAAAGCGGATTGAGAAACTGGAGGAATACATCACCACTAGCAAGTACGGGCCTATGCAACTATCCCCTTTAATTCCAAGCCTGTTGTTGTGACCCTCCCTGTATTGCCCCTCTTTGGGCAAGACCCCTAGAGTCTCTCTCTAGGAATGTTTTCTGACCAGCCAGAGTAACTCCCACATGCCCTCACTTTGTAGGCAGTCCCTAGAGGAGCAGAAGAAACTAGAGGGGGAGCTGACAGAGGAGGTGGAAATGGCCAAGCGGCGTATTGATGAAATCAATAAGGAATTGAACCAAGTGATGGAGCAACTAGGGGATGCTCGCATCGACCGCCAGGAGAGCAGCCGACAGCAGCGAAAGGCAGAAATAATGGAAAGCATCAAGCGTCTTTATCCTGGCTCTGTGGTAAGAGTGGAGGGGGACCTCATTTCCTGAGCACTTATTCACACTCAGTGTCATAAGATTTTACCAGCAACCCTGTAAGGACAGGATTGCCAGTCCTATTTTTTTTTTTTTTTTTGAGTTGGAGTCTCACTCTGTCACCCAGACTGGAGTGCAGTGGCCGCTCCCGGCCACCACAGCCTCGACCTGCTGGTCTCCGGTGATCCTTCCGCCTCAGCCTTCCGAGTAGCTGGAACTACAGGCGCGCGCTGCCACGCCCGGCTACTTTTTTTGATTTTATTGTAGAGATGAGGTCTCATCTGCCCAGGCAGGTCTCGAACCCGCGGGCTCAGGCAATCCTCTCACCTCAGCCTCCCAAAGGCGCGGGATTACAGGCTGAGCCACTGAGCCCGGCTGCCAGTCCTATTTTTATAGTTAGGGAAACTGAGGCTCAGAGAGGTAAAATGACTTGTCTCAAGAACTGGAAGAAGTGCAGTTCAAACCCAACTTGTTCTGATGCTTAAGCTCATGTTCTTTTCATCACACTAATTGCATGTTTCTGAAGGGTTTGTCTTGCTATGTCCATGCCTCTGTGGGGGCTTGGGAAACCAGGAAAGTCTTTGGGAGGGGGAGCGCCACAGGGCTGGAATTACTCTCTGTAATGCTGTATAGTTTTTTCTTTTCTTTTCTTCTTTTCTTTTCTTTTTTCTTTTTGAGTTGGAATCTCACTCTGTCACCCAGGCTGGAGGGCAGTGGCATGCTCCCAGCACCGCAGCCTCAACCTGCTGGGCTCAGGTGTTCCTTCCACCTTGCTGGAACCCAGGCATGTACCACCATGCCCAGCTAATTTTTTATTTATTGTAGAGATGAGGTCTTGCCAAGTTTTCCGGACTGGTCTTGAACCCATAGGCTTAGGCAATCCTCTCGGCCTCCCAAAGTGCTGGGATTATAGGCGTGAGCCATCATGCCCAGCCTGCTGTATAGTTTTCTATGTGAGCTCCTTGGCATGTACCAGCCAGCTCATTTGCTTTTAGGGACCCCTGGGCTTTATTACATCTTTTGGCCTCTTTTGCCAAATCCTGAATTCCTGGATTTCTTGAATCTTATCCCATCCTTGGGCTCAACTTGGTTTGGTTCCACAAATATTTCCCTATCACTCCTCTAGGCACTGCTAGGGAAATACATATCAGTCACTGTCCTCTAACTTAATAGTTCTTAGGGAACCATGCTTGATTTGGGGGAGTGGCGGAAGGGAACTGAAAAAGATTTATTTAGCCAGCTCCTTGTGAGAATTTGAAATAAGGTATGCGGCATAGTGCCTGGGTGGCAGTGGTTTGTGGAATGCTAAAAGTGAGGCTTAGAAAGATGATTTTGTATTCAGATATGACTGCCTAAAGCTGTTGCTTGGGATCCAGATTGGGCTTTTCCTCTATAGCATGGCACTTGTGTTCCTCTATGGGACAGGAAAAAAACCGAAGTGCTTTCCTTCTCATACAACCAGCACAACACTTCATTTCTGACAGCAGAAGTGTGGTGGTTTTCCCCACACACACCAAGCAATCCCCTTGCAGAAACCAGTTGGTTGACCTATAATTCAATTCAATTCTGACACTTTCTGGAGATAGCATCATATCTCACAGGTTAGGGGTTCAATCCCACAAGACTGCCACTGCTGCCCCTCCTTCACATGCCAATTGCAAGCTCCAAGTTGTGACCGGTCATAAATCAGGGTTTCCCATAAGCCCCTCTTCAGGTTTGATTAATTTACTAGAGTGGCTCACAAAACTCAGGAAAGTGCTTCATTTACACTTTTACTCACTTATTATGAAGGATATTACAGAGAATACAGATGAACAGCCAGATGGAAGAGATGTATAGGATGAGATATGGGAGAAGGTGTATGAAGCTATCTTGGGGCTCCTAGCCATCAGTTCTCTCATTAATACACCAAAGACACCAATTGCCCCTGAGATTTCAAGGGTTTTAGGAGCTGTGTGTCAGGAACTGGGGTCAAAGACCAAATGTACATTTCACAATATCATAGTCCACCATCTTCAAACACAGATTCCTCACACCAAAATGATCATATAACACTTTATTTTACTTTATTTTTTTGAGTTAGAGTCTCACTCTGTCGCCCAGGCTGGAGTGCAGTGGCATGCTCCCAGCCACTGCAGCCTCAATCTGCTGGGTTCAGGTGATCCTCCTGCCTCAGCCTTCCAAGTAGCTGGAACTATAGGCATGCGCCACCACACCCGGCTAATTTTTTTTGATTTATTGTAGAGATGAGCTCTCACCAAGTTGCCCAGGCTGGTCTTGAACCCGTGAGCTCAGGCAACCCTCTTACCTCGGCCTCCCAAAGTACTGGGATTATAGGCGTGAGCCACCACTGTCTTTTTTATTTATTTGTTTGTTTTGAAACAGAATCTCTATGTTTCCCAATCTGGGCTCAAGCAGTCCTCCCACCTCAGCCTCTCAAATAGCTGGGGCTACAGGCATGTGCCACCATGCCCAGCAGTGGGCTTTCTTGACCACTAGGCAGAACATTTGCGTTCACTGTTCTTGATACAAATTCTAGCTTGCCTCTCTTTCTGCACTGGGAATTGGGATTCCTGAGCCAGCTCCCAAAAGCCTCATGGTTCAGTTTTCCCTTCTACTTTATTCAGTACGGCCGCCTTATTGACCTCTGCCAGCCCACACAAAAGAAGTATCAGATTGCTGTTACCAAGGTTTTGGGCAAAAACATGGATGCCATTATTGTGGACTCGGAGAAGACAGGCCGGGACTGTATTCAGTATATCAAGGAGCAGCGTGGGGAGCCTGAGACCTTTTTGCCTCTTGACTACCTGGAGGTGAGACTTGTTGGGGATGGAGTCAGGGTAGTGTTCAAAGGCCCTTCCTTCTAGCCTTATGTGTTATGCCACTGACTGAGCTTCTACTCACAGGTGAAACCTACAGATGAGAAACTCCGGGAACTGAAGGGGGCCAAGCTAGTGATTGATGTGATTCGCTATGAGCCACCTCACATCAAAAAGGCCCTGCAATATGCTTGTGGCAATGCTCTTGTCTGTGACAATGTGGAGGATGCCCGCCGCATTGCCTTTGGAGGCCACCAGCGCCATAAGGTGTGGATTCCCTTGTCCAGGTTGGAGTTGTACAGGTTCAGTATTGAGATTCCTCTGCTCAACCTCCTTCTCTCTGCCATGTGTAGACAGTGGCACTGGATGGAACCCTCTTCCAGAAGTCAGGAGTGATCTCTGGTGGGGCCAGTGACCTGAAGGCCAAGGCACGACGCTGGGATGAGAAAGCAGTAGACAAATTGAAAGAGAAGAAGGAACGCTTGACAGAAGAGCTGAAGGTAAACCATAGACAGTGCTGTTCCTAGGAGTGGGCATCCTAATCCCAGATTGGCCACCTTCTTACCACCTAGCCCTTCTTTCTTGTTTTCTTCAGGAGCAGATGAAGGCAAAACGGAAAGAGGCCGAGCTGCGTCAGGTGCAGTCTCAGGCCCATGGACTCCAGATGCGGCTCAAGTATTCACAGAGTGACCTAGAGCAGACCAAGACACGACATCTAGCATTGAATCTGCAGGTGAGGCCTGGCCTTCAGCCCTGTCCTCCAGAGGCTGTTCTCATGTCCTGGCCTAGGTTTCTTTGGGATTAGGGAACTTGTTGCATTTTCCCTTTTCCTCTCAGCCTCTCCAGGCAGTCAAGCATAGCATAGAATCAGACAGCCTAGGGTTTAGATCTTGGCTTTGCCTCCAGCATGACAGTAGGCAATTAACTTCACCTCTCAATGTCAGTTTTCACATCTTTATCTATAAAATGGGAGTTAGAATAAAATCTTCTTTATAGGGTTATTATGAAGATTGAATTGAATGAGTTAACCTGTAAAGTGCTTAGACTAGTAAGTGCTCAGCAAATGTTTGGTGCTATTATTAGCATAATTAGTTTATTCAACAAATATTTGAACTTTTGAAAATAAGCTACGTGCATTTTAGTCCTTGTGTATGGTACTATTCCAGATATACTAATGTATTATTTTGATTATTGGATACTTCCTCAGACCCCCTTGGAGGTATTATATAATATGTAGTATATAATTTTGCCTTTTTCTAAACTCAAAAAAGTCTGAACTGAATTCTAAAACATATCTGGCCCCAGTACTTCTGGATAAGGATTGTGAACCTATATCTAATGATATTTACTCTGTACTCAGCCCTGTGGATTAAAGCTAGCTGAACTGGAGGCCAGGGAGGAAGCCGTGTGATGGCTCTGGTGAGATATGATGATGACTTGACTAGGGTAGTGGTGTTAAGACAAATTCTCTCAGTGTGTAGTGAGCTAAGCCTTCCTGACTGTGGGGCTAGTGCAGTCAGGGTAGCTTTTCTCCTCCAAGGAGCCTGGTCTGCTTTGTCCTTTCAACCCACTGCCTATAGGAAAAGTCTAAACTGGAGAGTGAACTAGCCAACTTTGGGCCTCGCATTAATGATATCAAGAGAATCATCCAGAGCCGAGAAAGGGAAATGAAAGACTTGAAGGAGAAGATGAATCAGGTTGGTAGAGGGGTGTGCCATGCCTGCATGTTCATCAGGCAGGATGGACTGGGAGCAAGACTGACCAAAGGGGCCTCTACCTTCCCTGGCTTCTCTCCTCAGGTAGAGGATGAGGTATTTGAAGAGTTTTGTCGGGAGATTGGTGTGCGTAACATCCGGGAGTTTGAGGAAGAGAAAGTGAAACGACAGAATGAAATCGCCAAGAAGCGGTAGGTGGCAGTATTGGTAGACGATATTGGCATGCCCTTGAGCCTCTGGCCTTAAAATTCTTGGAAAGTCAAATGCTCTCATAAGGCAGGGATCAACTCTTTTTTTTTTTTTTGTGAGTTGGAGTCGCACTGTCACTCAGGCTGGAGTGCCGTGGCACACTCATAGCCACTGCAGCCTTGACCTGCTGGGCTCAGGTGATTCTTCTGCTTCAGTCTTCCAAGTAGCTGGAACTACAGGCACATGCCACCACACCAGGCTAAATTTTTGATTTATTGTAGAGATGAGGTCTCACTAAGTTGCCCAGGCTGGTCTCGAACCCGTGAGCTCAGGCAATCCTCTCACCTCAGCCTCCCAAAGTGCTGAAATTATAGGCATGGGTCACCACGCCCAGCCAGGGATCAACTCTTAGGGAGTTTATTGTAGATAGACCTTAAAGAACAGAGAGATTAAGAGGGCAGTATTGCATATTATAGTGGTTAAGAGTGCCAGCTAGCTGGGTGCAGTGGCTCATGCCTGTAATCCCAACACTTTGGGCAGTGGAGGCGAGAGAATTGCTTGAGTCCAGGGGTTCAAGATCAGCTTGGGCAACATGGCGAGATCTCTTCTCTATGTTAAATCAAAAAATTAGCCGGACGTGGTGGCATGTGCCTATAGTTCCAGCTACTTGGGAGGTTAAGGCAGAAGGATCACCTGAGCCCCATGGGCAGAGACTGCGGTGGCCCTGCGGGTGTCATTGTACTCCAGCCTGAGCAACAGATTGAGACTCCTGCTCAAAAAAAAAAAAAAAAAAGTGCTAGCTTTAAACTTGATTTACCTGGATTAAAATCCCAGCTCCATAACTCATTATCTTGGGCAGTGACTTGACTTCTATAAGCTCCAATGTTTGTATAATGGTATAATGATACCTATCTCATGGTATTGTTGGGAGGATCAGGTGAAATAATCTTTATAAAGTATTTAACGTATTACTTAGTACCTACTAAGAGCAATAAATATTAGCTTTTATTGTCATTATCCTGATGGGTGGTGTGAGGTGGAAGGGAGTCGGGGGGGGGATTGGAGGAACAAAATTCTTGTTTGGAAGAATACCAAGAACAAAACAATCCTGTTTCTTCCTTTAGTTGACTCATTCATTCAACAAACTTTCTTGAGTACCTACCTTGTGCCAGGTTGTCCTGTGCTAGTTATTGGAGGGGGACAGGGGAGATAGAGATAAGACAGAGATGATCTCAACACAGTCTCTGCTGAAGGAGGTCATTCCTTGGACCATGGGCCTCAGTCAGTAGTTCATCTAGCCCTTTGCCCATATAGTAAATATTAACTGCTCTTCTACTCCAAGCCAGTCTCAAGGAATATAGATTTGAATGAGACGCTGTTTCTTTCCTCAGGGAACTTATGAAGTACTAGAGGAAGCAGGTAGATTAACAATTTCGAAACAGTATGATTGATGATGTAACTAAGGTAGATACAAAATACAGAAGAAATCTTCAAGGAACTGCAAATGAACAAGAAGGAAAAAGCAATGACAAGAAACCCAGTGAAAAGTGGGCAAAGGATGTGGATGACCTTTCATGGAAAGAGAAGCTTGAATAGCCTACAACCTAGGAATTGATGTTTAATCTCTTAATGAGAGGAGTGCAAATGAAAAACAATCTAGGCTTGGATCAGTGGCTCATGTCTGTAATCCCAGCACTTTGGTAGGCTGAGATGGGAGCATTGCTTGAGACCAGGAGTTCAAGATCAGCCTGGGTAACATAGTGAGATTCTGGCTCTACAAAAAAAATTTTTTTTTCTTTTTTTTTTTGAGTTGGAGTCTCACTCTGTAGCCCAGACTGGAGTGCAGTGGCCGCTCCCGGCCACCGCAGCCTCGACCTGCTGGGCTCTGGCGATCCTTCCGCCTCAGCCTTCCAAATAGCTGGAACTACAGGCGCACACTACCATACCTGGCTGATTTTTTGTTTTATTGTAGAGATGAGGCCTTGCCAAGTTGCCCAGGCAAACCCGCGGGCTCAGGCAATCCACTCACCTCAGCCTCCCAAGGCACGGGATTACAGGCTGAGCCACCGAGCCCGGCTTACAAAAATATTTTTAAAATTAGCTGGGCTTGGTGATATGTGCCTATAGTCCCATCTACTCGGGAGGCTAAGGTGGAAGGGCTACAGTGAGCTATGATTTCACCACTGCACTCCAGCCTGGACGACAGGGTGAGACTGTGTCTCTAAAATAATAATAATGATGATAATAACAAAAGCAGTTTAGCAGTATTTGGTGAAAATAAGTCTACATATGTCATATGTAGTATATAAGTGTTATATGCCATGTGGATAATTATCCCAGAGAGAGTTTTGTCATAGGGTCACAAAGAGAAACATTTGGGGTTCATCTTGGCATAATTTGGGGTAGTGGGATGTTAGTGGCAATGTAGGTGGCTATCACTGGAGAAAGCATAAGTTAAATGAATGCATAGACTGGAATAGTGTGTAGCAATTCAAATAAGAACTAGATTTATAGGCAGTAATGGATAAATTATAAAGCTAATATTTACTGAAAAAAATGTAATTTATAACACTGTGCATTTGTATAAATTTTAAAACAATGAAATTTTACAAGGATATGCCTTTTTTTTTGAGTTGGAGTCTCACTCTGTCGCCCATGCTAGAGTGCAGTGGCAATCTCACAGCCACCGCAGCCTCAACCTGCTAGGCTCAGGCGATCCTTCTGCCTCAGCCTTCCAAGTAGCTGGGACTACAGGTGCGAGCCACCACACCCAGCTAATTTTTTGATTTATTGTAGAGATGAGTTCTCGCCAAGTTGCCCAGGCTGGTCTTGAACCTCTGGTCTCAGGCAATCCTCTCGCCTCGGCCTCCCAAAGTGCTGGGATTACAGGCTTGAGCCACTATGCCCAGCAAGATATGCATTTTTAAGGATATGTGTGTATATGTCACTGTGGGGGTGCACGTTCACAATAGGGAAGGCAACGGGAATGGAAATTGGGGACTGAGACAACTGGGACAATGGAAGAGTCTTGCACAGGCAGCAGTGAAATATGTGTTATGAACTGTGGGATATAAGCTCAACTCTGTGCCTCAAGTCCAAAGAGAGGAACCTGATGAAGTATAATAGAAACTAAGAACCAGACCGGGCACAGTGGCTCAACCCTGTAATCCCAGCACTTTGAGAGGCCGAGGCGAGAGGATTGCCTGAGTCCAGGGATTCGAAACCAGGCTGAGCAACTTGGTGAGACCTTGACTCTACAATAAATAAAAAAATTAGCCGGGTGTGGTAGCGTATGCCTGTAGTTCCAGCTACTTGGAAGGCTGAAGTGGAAGAATCACCTGAACCCAGCAGGTTGAGACTGCAGTAGCTGTGAGCATGCCACTGCACTCTAGCCTGGGCAACAGAATGAGACTCCGACACAATTAAAAAAAAAAACTAAGAACCTGCTCAGAATCATCAGGAAGGTTTTACAAAAAGAGGAGTGATGAACTAGAGATCTGAAGAATGAGTCACAGCCAGCCAGTGACAAGAAGGGAGTTCCAGGCAGTGAGAACAGCATGCTTGGAGGTGTGAGAGAGTTTGCCTTGTTTTGGGATACTAAGTAGTTTTTAATGTCTGGAGCATAAAAACAGGGTCAAGAGGAAGGTGTGGGTGGTAGAGAGGTCAGCAGGAGCCAGATCACGGAGGCCTTTATGAGTCATACTTAGAAGATTGGTTGTAAAATTGCATAGCTCAAAATTATAGAGTTAATTATGTTCCATTTGAATTATAGTGACTAATAGGTTCAAGTAGCTAGCATGACATCTGGCAGCATCTGTCACACTATATTGGGGATTGGGGGGGCAGTTGGAAGTTAGCCCAGCCTAGCCTGCTAGTTTCTTTGTATACTAGTTACATATTTGAGTTTCTGACGAGATGGGGAGGACAATAGTAGAAATCCAGTTTTCTCTTCATGTTTTGTACTATCCAAGCTCTGCCCTTTAAGAGGTTTTGGAATCTTGGTGCAGAGAATGGGATACTAGAAAGAGTTGAAACCCGTGGGCAAAGGTGAGCTGAGTATAGTCAGTATACCTAGTTATGATTGTGTAATTAAAATTTATTAAGTAGTTATTGTGTACCAGGTATGGTTCTAAGGACTTACTACATATTAACTTTTTTTTTTTGAGTTGGAGTCTCACTCTGTCGCCCAGACTGGAGTGCAGTGGCCGCTCCCGGCCTCCGCAGCCTCGACCTGCTGGGCTCCGGCGATCCTTCCGCCTCAGCCTAACGAGTAGCCGGAATTACAGGCATGTGCTACCATGCCCGGCTGATTTTTTTATTTATTGTAAAGATGAGGTCTCTCTGCCCAGGCGGGTCTCGAACCCGCGGGCTCAGGCAATCCACTCACCTCAGCCTCCCAAAGGTGTGGGATTACAGGCTGAGCCACCGAGCCCAGCTTATTAACTTATTTTTAAAAATCACCTTGGCCAGGCTTGGTGGCTCAGCCTGTAATTCTAGCACTTTGGGAGGCTGAGGTGAGTGAATTGCCTGCGCCTATGGGGTCAAGAGCAGCCCGGGCAACTTGATGAGACCTCATCTCTACAATATATTTAAAATTAGCCAGGCGTGGTAGCATGCACCTATAGTTCTGGCTTGGAAGGCTGAGGCGGAAGGATTGTCGGAGTCCAACAGATTGATGCTGGGGTAGCCATGAGTGTGCCGCTGCACTCCAACCTGGGCAATAGAGTGAGACTCCAACTCAAAAAAAGAAAAAAAATCCCCTCAATTAAAAAAAAATATTAAGGCCGAGTGTGGTGGCTTTCACCTGTAATCCCAGCACTTTGGGGAGATGGAGGGAAGTGGATTGCCTGAGCCCACGGGTTCAAGAGCAGCCTGGGCAACTTAGTGAGACCTCATCTCTATAATAAATCAAAAAATTAGCTGTGGATGGTAGTGTGCACCTGTAGTTCCAGCTACTTGGAAGGCTGAGGCAGAAGGAGAATGCCTGAGCCCAGCAGGTCGAGGCTGCAGTGGCTATGAGCATGCCACTGCTCTCCAGCCTGGGTGACAGAGTGAGACTGTCACTCAAAAAAAAAAAAAATTAAAAAGTAAAAATCCCCCAATAACTATGAGATAAGTACTATTATGTCCATTTTGCAGATGAGGAAACTGAGGCCTGGAAAGTATAACTAACTTACCTGAGATGACACTGCTAGTAAGAGGCAGTGGAATACCAATCCTCTTAACCCTCTATATTGCAGTGAAGGTATACAGGAAGGAGCCTGGATTTTGGTATTATACCTGGGTTTATCTCACCTGGGCCATTTTTACTAGCTGTGTGACCTTGGGCAAGGTCTTTTATCTATTGGCCTAAGTTTCCTCATTTGTACAATTAGGATAATGCCTACTTGTGGAGCTGTTGATTAGAGGATTAGAGATAATGTATGTAAAGTACATAAAAGCTTAATAAATAGGAATTACTATAGCTGGTGGATTCAGATGGACCTTTTTATGTCTCCTTTTAATAACTTGAGAGGGCTCTGGAGTCTCCAGCATTTAAAGGGGGATAAACAGAGTTTGGCCCAATCTCTCCTGCCGTGCACAGGGCTAAGCTTAGTTATCCAACTTAGGCACTTAGTTCTCCAACTTGAGGGGACATATGTGTGCATATGGATGAGCTCAATAGTGACTGAAATTCAGCAATAAGTGTTGTTCCCTGAGCCCTGAGCTTTGTCCCGCTTTCTTCTCACAGTTTGGAGTTTGAGAATCAGAAGACTCGTTTGGGCATCCAGTTGGATTTTGAAAAGAACCAGCTGAAGGAGGACCAAGATAAAGTACACATGTGGGAGCAGACAGTGAAAAAGGATGAAAATGAGATAGAAAAGCTCAAGAAGGTAAGGAAGGAGAGAAGTAAAGACAGATAGCAACTGGGAGGAAAAATGGGAAGAAACATGATAGGTAAAATGGTAATGTTTATAGTTTATAAATCCCTCATCTAAATGAATAAGAAAAACACCAAGGCCTAAATAGGGGGAGAATGGGTAAGTGGCACAGTTTAAGAAGAGATTCAAATAGTTCATAAACACAGACAAACAATTTAGCCTTACTAGAAATCAAGGAAATATAAATTAAAGCAACAAACAGATGTAATTTGCTTCCTATCTTCCCAAAATTTAAAAATAAAAATACAGTGCTCAATACTAACCATGGTGCAGAAACCAGTATTCTTTTTTTTTTTTTTTTTTTGAGTTGGAATCTCACTCTGTCACCCAGACTGGAGTGCAGTGGTCGCTCCCGGCCACCGCAACCTCACCCTGCTGGGCTCCAGCGATCCTTCCGCCTCAGCCTTCCAAGTAGCCAGAATTACAGGCATGCGCTACCACGCCCGGCTGATTTTTTGATTTATTGTAGAGATGAGGTCTTGCTGCCCAGGCGGGTCTCGAACCCGCGGGCTCAGGCAATCCACTCACCTCAGCCGCCCAAAGGCGCGGGATTACAGGCTGAGCCACCGAGCCCGGCTAAAACCAGTATTCTTAGGCAATATGGTACCATCCTTCAACAAGCTTCAGAATGCATTTACATTCTCTAACTCAATAATACCTGAGGACATAATCCATAATGCTGGCAAAGCTTTGTGCAAACAGTTTGATGTTTATTACAAGCATTGTTTATAGTTCCAAATTGGAAACTACTTGATATCCCTGGGATAGTAGGAATTTACCAAGTTATTCTATGTTCATAAAAGTTTTGTTTTTGTTTTTATTTTTTTGAGTTGAAGTCACAGTCTGTTGCTCAGGCTGGAGTGCAGTGGCACGTTCACAACCACTGCAGCCTTGACCTGCTGGGCTCAGGCGATCCTTCTGCCTCAACTTTACAAGTAGCTGTAACTACAGGCGTGTGCTACCATGCCTGGCTAATTTTTTAAAAATTTATTATAGAGACGAGGTCTCTCCACATTGCCCAGGCTGGTCTCAAACCCCTGGGCTCAGACAATCCTCTTGCCTCTACCTCTCAGAGTGTTGGAATTACAAGTGTAATTCCCAATGCCCAGCTCATAAAAGTATTTATGTTGTTTAGTGGTCTTCAAACTTCAGTAATCCACAGACCCCTTTTAAAGGAAAAGTATTCCCTAAGATTGCCAGTGTTGGCTCCAATCCTTGATGTTACGCAAATATAAACAAGCATATATACTTAGAACACTTAACGAAAAGCCAACACAAACGTACAACTTAAAAACAAAATGAGTAAAATTTAGATTAACCATGTAAATTCAGTGCAACAGATGATGCTGTTTTGCTGAAACCTAGCCACTTCACAGTGTGACTATGCTACTGACTGCTGTAGTTCAGTTCTTTAATAAGCGTAAGCATGCCTGTGCCACTGTATTGTGAGATGACTCAATTTTTTTCACATCCTTTCTCTTTAAACTACTGTAAAACCTTTGTTTCTTACAGCATTCACTCCTGAAGTGATTTGGTCTCCTCTTGGTTTGAACATATCATTTGACCTTTTTTTTTTGAGTTGGAGTCTCACTCTGTTACCCAGGCTGGAGTGCAGTGGCACACTCACGGCCACCACAGTCTTGACCTTCTGGACTCAGGCAATCCTTCCACCTTAACCTTCCAAGTAGCTGGAACTACAGGTGTACGCCACCACACCTGGCTAATGTTTTGATTTATTGTAGAGACGAGGTCTCGCTATGTTGCTTTGGCTGGTCTTGAACCCATGGGCTCAGGTAATCCTCTCACCTCTGCCTCCCAAAGTGCTAGGATTACAGGCGTGAGTCTCCACACCTGACTTTCATTTGACCTTTTTTCCCCCTTACTTTATTACCAAGGCTGGAGCACAGTGGTGTGATCATAGCTCACTGTAACCTAGAACTCCTGGGCTCAAGGGATACTACTGTCTCTGCTTCCTGAGTAGTTAGCACTATAGGCAGGTACCATGCATGCCCTGCTAACTTTTTAGTTTTAGTTTTAGTTTTTTTTTTTTAAGAGATAGGGTCTTGCTGCATTGTCCAGGCTTGTCCTGAACTCCTGGCCTCAGGTGATCCTGCTGTCTTGGTGTTGGGATTATGGGCGTGAGCCATTGCACCCGGCCCCATTTACTTTTTTTGTCTGCCTATGTTTATTACTTGCTTGTGTGTTTTCTTCATTGACCGTGATGATTAAAGTAGTCTTTGGTGTCAGTGGAATCTTAAATGCAATTGCAGACTGGGTAGTAAAGGTCTGGGGCAGGACAAGGTGGATATCTAGATGATCCAGGATAATATACTTATGTGATACTTCCCTACGAACTTCACAGAGAAAAAATAAATAGACCGGGCTCGGTGGCTCAGCCTGTAATCCCAGCACTTTTGGAGGCTGAGGCGAGTGGGTTGACTGAGCCTGCGGGTTCAAGACCAGCTGGGCAACCTGGCAAAACCTCGTCTCTACAATAAATCAAAAATTAGCCAGGTGTGCTAACACGTGCCTGTAGTTCCAGCTACTTGGAAGGCTGAGGTGGAAGGATCGCTGGAGCCCAGCAAGTCAACTGTATGCCACTGCACTCCAGCCTGGGCAATGGAGTGAGACTCCAACTCAAAAAAAAAGAAAAGAAAAAAGAAATTAAAAAATATATACTTCAGTGACTTTTTATTTTGAAATACTTTTCAACTTTGAAGAAAGTTGCAAGAATAGTACAAGGATCTCTCACCTACCCATTGCCAAGATTCATCAGTTGTCAACATGTAGCCTCATTTACTTTTGCATTCTCTCTCTGTCTGTGTACGGTTATTATTTTTTTATGAGTCATTGAGCATAAGTTGCAGATACGTCCTCTTTTTTCCAAATGAAAACAAAAATTTTCCTTTAAAAAAACTCGACTGGGTGTGGTGATGCATGCCTATAATCCCACCATTTTGAGAGGTTGAGGCAGGAGTTTGAGACCAGCCTGGGCAACATAGCAAGACCCTGTCTCTAATTAAAAAAAAAGACAAAATCAGAATGTTGTAAGTATGGCTACCCCTTTGGCTGATCACTCTCAATCCTGCTACCCTTCCTCTTTCCAGATGTAATTTCAGATTAGTATGTATTCTTCAAGACCTTTTAGGGATTTACTTAAATACTTATGCATTTATATATTTGTATCTGTAGAAAATACACAGTATTGTGTGGGTTTTCAAAAAAACAAATGTTGTTATACTACACATGACAAAGTTTTGCTGTGGAAAAAAATGCTCAAATAACATTGTCAGAATATAGAGTTTTAATTACAATCTGGTCTCAACTATGTAAAGCTGTCTGTAAATAATGGGGGGGAGAAGAGATGCTAGAATATTAATTGGTTATCTCTAGCTGGTGGGATTATGAGTGATTTCACACCCCTACCCCCACTTTATGCTTCTTCTATACTTTTAACTTTTCTACAGTAGGTAACTTGTGTAATTGGGGTGTGTGGGAGGGGGAACCAAATAGTTTAGAAAAAGATAAAAGGAGACTGAGGGGTGATGGAGGTGTGAAAGCAGAGCTCACTGATGAGTGATTCCAACAAACTGCCTGGTAGGAATGGTGGGTGAAGGAGCAGAAGATCCCAACATGAGATAGGGAAAGCCTTCTCTCTTCCTGTTCTCTCTTCTCGGACCAGGAGGAACAAAGGCACATGAAGATCATAGATGAGACCATGGCTCAGCTACAAGACCTAAAGAATCAGCACCTCGCAAAGAAGTCAGAAGTGAATGACAAGAATCACGAGATGGAGGAGATTCGTAAGAAATTGGGAGGCGCCAATAAGTGAGTGGGTTCAGGCCTAGGGTGGTAGGATGTGGGTAGAGCAGGCAGCTTGCCAGATTTGGGTCTCACCTAGCCCCCTGGACCTTTTTTTAGGGAAATGACCCATTTACAAAAGGAGGTAACAGCCATTGAGACTAAGCTTGAACAGAAGCGCAGTGACCGCCACAATTTGCTACAAGCCTGCAAGATGCAGGACATCAAGTTGCCACTGTCAAAAGGCACTATGGATGATATTAGTCAGGAAGAGGTGAGTATTGTGGCTGGTGGTGGGAGTGGGCTATGAACAGCATTAACCAGGGAGGGGGAGTGAAAGTGGCCAGGAAGGGCAATGAGAAAGAGAAGGATGGTGAACAGATGGGGGCGGGATATGAAGAGGGATGCAGGCGAGATGAGGCAAGAAATGGTGGTGAAGGTAGGTGAGGTGAAAGATAATAATAGCCTTGGTGTGAAAGAGAAGTTGAATTAGGAGTAAAGCTGCAAGCCAGTGGGTGGTGAGAGAGTTGAGCCAGGAGAGGATGAAGTGATTCATTAACCTTAGGGACCTGAGCTGTTTTCGCTCCAGCAGGTGATGGGTATTGGTAGGAGTGGAAATTGAGAATTAGCCAAGAGCAGAGGAAGACGGGAAGCTGGGGCACCTGAGGATGATAGCTTAGCTGCAGTGAGGGAGGTTAGCCAGGAGAAGGTTGGGTAAGGGACATCAACAATGCAGAGGTGAGGAAGCCTAGTTATAGGAAAGGAAGAGACATTAGCCAATAAAAGAGCCAAGGCATTTTATCCAGTGGAAGCAAAGATTGGTGGGGGGGGGGGGGCAGTTAACTGAAAGGAGGTTTGCGTGTATCTAGTATTAGAACTGGTCATGTATCTCAGTCCTACATGTTTTACTCCATGGCCCCCTCCCAAATGGCATTTCAGTTTAATTCATTAAAATATTTTGAACACTAGAAATGTTCCGGACATCATGGTAACATGTGACATAATTATCCCTAAGACTAATCACAGCCCTACTAGGCAGGAATTGTTTCCATGTTACAGATGAAGAAACTCAGGATCTGAGAATGTGACTTACTCAGGATCTGAGAATGTGACTTACCCCGGGTCACCCTGTTAGTAAATGGTAGAGCCCAGTTTTGAACTCTGTCATTCTGCCTCCAAAGCCTCTGTTCCTTCTGCCACAGTGCTTTCTAGCAAGGTACTTGCTCAGGGATTGAAGGCTACAAAGGAGCCCCCAGTCTCCCTCTAGGGGGCGCTCTCATGGCCAGTCTGTCTCATTTGACTTTCCCTTCCATTGCAGGGTAGCTCCCAGGGGGAGGATTCAGTGAGTGGTTCCCAGAGAATTTCCAGTATCTATGCACGAGAGGCCCTCATCGAGATTGACTATGGCGACCTGTGTGAGGATCTGAAGGTGAGGCATAACCACAGGGGCCGGGGGGACCCCAGCTGTCCAAAGAGAGAGTCAGTCCATCTGAGGGCTCTTTGGAGACCATGGTTGGTAAGAGGGGAAAGCTGGCAAGGGAGGGAGGATCGAGTTTTGAGCCAGGGTCTCCTTCCTCATGTATACACAGACATATGCATATCTACCACCGCACACCTCCAGTTGCTCCTTGTCCCTGCTTGCTGTCAGTCATTCCCTTTCATATGTATACATGACTAAGCCCAGATAGACACACACACACAGAGAGATAGAGAACAGGCTCCTGTACCGTAAATAAATTGGCCTCAAGTGTTCCTCAGGGCTCTTTCCTACTCACTTGGCATTCACTCATCCTGGGTATCGCTTCACTCCCCTGGCTTCAGCTGCCATCTCTATGCTAGGTTCTAGGGGTAGCTCCAGCCCTAGCTTTCCTCCCCAAATCTGCCCTTCTCAGTGCCACTCACATGCTCAGCCAGAAATCTGAGCCTCATCCTTGACTCCTCTCCTTCTCATTTTACACAGTCAATTAGTTACCGAGCCCTATAGATTCTGCCTCGTAAATGTCTACTGAATTCTACTTTCTTCTGTTCCATTCTCAAATACAGTCCACTTTTACTTCACATAGACAACTTCAGGAGCCTCCTAAATATTTTCTGATGCTTTCCAATTATCATTATATTCAGGAGGTTTTTTTTTTAACTTATGGAAAATTTTAAGCATATGTGGCAATAAACAGAATGATAATAATGAACCTCATGCACCCATACTCAACATTTGCCAACATAAGTCACTTCCCACTGGACTATTTTAAAGCAAACTCTAGACATTATTCCATCCATAACTACTTTAGCATTTTTTTGAGTCGGCATCTCACTCTGTCACCCAGGCTGGAGTGCAGTGGCATACTCACGGCCACCGTAGCCTTGACCTACTGAGTTCAGGCGTTCTTTCCACCCCAGCCGTCCAAGTAACTGGAACTACAGACATGTGCTACCATGCCCAGCTAATTTTTTGATTTACTGTAGAGACGAGGTCTTGCCAAGTTGCCCAGGCTGATCTCGAACCCCTGAGCTCAGGCAGTCTTCTAGCCCTGGCCTCCCAAAGTGCTGGGATTACAGGCTTGAGCCACCATGCCTAGGGGACATTTTTTATTTTTCATTTGTTTCTGAGTTAGAGTCTCACTCTCTCACCCAGGCTGGAGTGCAGTGGCACACTCATGACCACTCCAGCATCAACCACCTGGGCTCTGGTGATCCTTCTACCTCAGACTTCCAAGTAACTGGAACTACAGGAGCACCCTACCATGCCTGACTAATTTTTTACTTATTGTAGAGACAAGGTCTTGTCCAGTTGCCTGGGCTGGTCTCAAACCCATGGGCTCAGGCAATCCATTTGCTTCGGCCTCCCAAAGTGCTGGGATTACAGACTGAGCTACTGAGCCTGGCCCAGACATTTAAAAAAAAAAAATAATAACCACGCTGGGCACAGCTCATGCCTATAATCCCAGCAATTTGGGAGACTGAGGCAGGGAGATTACTTGAGGCCAGGAGATTAAGACCAGCCTGGGCAACATAGCAAGAACCCGTCTCACTAAAAATAAATGAATCAGACCTGGTGGCATGCGCTTGTTGTAGTCCCAACTACTAAGGAGGCTAAGACAGGAGGATCACTTGAGCCCAGGAGTTCAAGGCTGCAGTGAGCTGTGATTGCACCACTGCACTCCAACCTGGGCAACAGAAAAGATTTAACAATAACTCCACCATATCATCTAATCAATAAATGTTTAGATTGCCATGAAAACTCCATAACTTTTGTTTGTGTTTTGCAACTTATGTGGTTTTTTGTTTTGTTTTGTTCTGAGTTGGAGTCTCACTCTGTCGCCTAGGCTGGAGTGCAGTAGCACACTCACAGCCACTGTAGTCTTGACCTGCTGGGCTCAGGTGATAGATCTGCCTCAGCATTCCAGGTAGCTGGAATTTCCAGTGCGTGCTACCATGCCTGACTAATTTTTTTACTTATTATAGAGACAAGGTCTCGCCAAGTTGTCCAGGCTCATCTCAAACCCCTGTGTTCAGACAGTCTTCTTGCTTCAGCTTCCCAAAATGCTGGGATTACAGGCTTGAGCCACTGTGCCTGGCCAAACTTGTGTTTAAATCAATATTCAAGTAAGAGCCGGGCTCGGTGGTGCAGCCTGTAATCCCATGCTTTGGGAGACCAAGGTGAGTGGATTGCCTGAGCTCACGGGTTTGAGACCCACCTGGGCAACTTGGCAAGACCTCATCTCTACAATAAATCAAAA